CTGGGAGCACTGGGAGCACTGGGAGCACTGGGGGCTGCTCTCCCCTCCTGCTCCCAGTGCTGGGAATGGCCGGGAGTGAGAGAATGGAGTGGGAGCAGAGCAGAGCCAGGGAGAATCCCTGGATCCCTCCAGGGAAAATCCCTGGATTCCTGCAGGGAGAATCCCTGGATTCCCCCAGAGAGAATCCCTGGATTCCCCCAGGGAGAATCCCTGGATTCCCCCAGGGAGAATCCTTGGATTCCTGCAGGGAGAATCCCTGGATTCCCCCAGGGAGAATCCCTGGATTCCTGCAGCGAGAGAAGGGCTGGAGAAGGGATGGGGCTGTTCCTGGGCCTGGCAGAGGTGATGGGTGAGGATGTGGGATCGCGACCAAACGGCTTCTCTGCAGCCACTGTTCCCGTTTCCCTGCGGAAACCAGCCTGGATTCCATCGGAAAGCGTTCCCAGTTCCCTCAGGAGCCGTTCCTGACTCCCTGCAGGAGCCAAGGCCCCGTTCCCTGCCCGGCTCTTGCCCTCGAGTGGCAAAACCCTTCACCCTGAGCTGCTGCTCCTTCCCTTCCTGCCCCGGCTCCTCTGCAATCCTGCTGTGCCTGCTCTTCATCCTCATCCTGCTGTGCCTCCTCTTCCTCATCCCCATCCTGCTGTGCCTGCTCTTCATCCTCATCCTGCTGTGCCTCCTCTTCCTCATCCCCATCCTGCTGTGCCTTCTCCTCCTCTTCCTCTTCATCCCCATCCTGCTGTGCCTCCTCTTCATCCCCATCCCCATCCTGCTGTGCCTCCTCTTCATCCCCATCCCCATCCTGCTGTGCCTCCTCCTCATCCTCATCCTGGGAGCTTCCTCCTCTTCATCCCTATCCCAGGTGCTTCCTCCTCCTCCTCCTCCTCCTCATCCCAGTGGAACCAGGTTCCTCCAGCCCTGCTGCCGCTCCCTGCCAGAGCAGGGCCAAAATCATCAATTCCACCTTTCCAGGACCAAAATCACCAATTTCGCCTTTCTGGAACCAAAATCACCAATCCCATCTTTCCTGGAACCAAACTCACCAATCCCACATTTCCAGGACCAAAATCACCAATTTTGCCTTTCCTGGACCAAAATCACCAATTTTGCCTTTCCTGGACCGAAATCACCGATTCCTCCTCCCCATCCCTGTTCCGCCGCCAGCGGCGATTCCTTTTCCCGACGGGAACAGCGGGAATTCCACAGCGCCTCGCCCTAAAAATCTCCCGCGAGCGCCGGGGGGACCGCCGGGGCCTCCCGCGTCCGGCAGAGAGAAATAAACCCAATTTCCTTTACATATATATATATGAATTCATAGATATGAATTTATATATATATATTTTTATATATATATATATAAATTAAAGCGAGCGGGGAGCGCCGCGGGGGGGCTATAGCGTGGTCTCACTGCCCATGTCCCGGGGAGCTTTTTCCGTGTCGGTGTCGTCGTAGTCGGATTCCATCTCGATCTTCACCTGGGGCACGGCACA